CGGCGAGCGGGACACACGGACCGGGGGGTGGGCGAGGACGAGCTCGCCCCGGCGCGGGGAGGGGCGGGTCCGCGCCCAGCTGCCTAGCGCGCCCCCAGACGCCGGCGCCTCCCGCTGTTGTCCCGGCGCGGAGCAAGGTCGCCTGAGCGCGGCGCCGACAGGGGGCACAGTCCAGCCCCTTCCCCTCCGGTCTGTCCCGGTTACTCAGCGCCTCAAGACGCCTAGGGTGACGCTCTTCCCACCCCGCGCAAGCCGCGGCAGCCTGGCGGGCGGCTCAGAGGAGGCCCGCCTCGCCCAGCAGGGATTTGGACTCCAGAGCACGGCCGGTGGGGCCCGCGGGGCCCTCGCTCTCCACGGCGCCCCTCCAGGACCCCAATTCCGCCGCCCCCAGAGGCCTCCCTTGGCCCCGACCTAGACTCCTCCCGACGTTCTCCTCAGGCCAGCATGCGTTCCTGTTACAGCGCAGCTCCCGGTCCTGAAGCCGGAGCCAAGAGCGTGCTAAGTTAACGCGGCTCCTGGCGAAGCTCTTTGGGAGCCAGGGTGCCAAGGACAGGCGCCCCAACTAGAACAGAACGCGGAAAGGAAGGAGCGCCCGTCCGAGAGTTCTGCGCGCGCAGGCCGCGGGGCCGCGCTGCGGACCCGGGCGAGCACACCCTGCCCCACACTTTAGCGCTCCCCAGGGCGGGGTCTGGAGTCTCTCACGGCACCGCGAGCCTGAGACTATCGCTCTCCGGGTCGCCTGGACTCCCCCCAGTGGCGACTGAAGGACTCTGTCTGCCCTTCCATTTGTCTCCGGACAGCTCCTCGTAAACACCGCCAAGGCCTGCGTTACATCTGCAGTCCCCTCCCAGATTCAGGTCTGGCGGGGGCTAGGGAGCTGCCCTCTGCCCTGGCCCACATCACCCCTGGCTTGGGACAGAGAGCGGAGCACGTCAGAAGGACACCGGGGTGTCTCCCCAGCCCCTACTGTCAGCTCCTGTGCTCTGGATTTGGAGCCACCCTCTCCCCACTGCAGACAGCTGAGGAGAACCGTTCTCCCCCACGCCATGGCCTCCCAGGCTCTGAACCCTGGGAAGCATCCCTGGTGCTGTGGCTTCTGGGAGGCGGACCCCACCATCGCTGCGGATTGATTAAAGTCATTGTGTGGATTTTTAACATTTAATTTACCAGGCCCACGGCCGCGGTCAAAACTATCCCTGGGGAAATCTAAGCCAAGGGGACAAAACAGAAAAGACCTCCTGCAAGTGAGCAGAGCCTCCTCAGGATTCATTGTGTGAGCTCAGCTTCCAATCAGACCTGCACAGCAATATTTCAGGGAGGCTGGAGCGGTCAGGTTCCTGCACTAGGCATGGCATAAGGAGCCCTGACCTCCAGCCTGCTGGTGACAGCGAGGGGTGAAGTGGCCCCAGATGCCTGGGCATGACACAGAACAGCCCCCACCCAGGCTGGCCTTCCAAGAAAGGGGCACTATTCTTGCAACTAGCACTTGCCCAGAGAGGAGGGCACCAAGCCTCACTCCCAGGGCACACAAGAAACAGCCTCCAGGATGCAACAGAACAGCCAGTCCTAGTCCTTCCTCCTCCAGGACAGTGGACGGATCAGGTGGGAAGGGACTTCTCAGGACAATGCCCTAGACCAGACACAGGCACAGGCACGTGGAGTGCAGGACCACACCTATCCTTCTAAGACATATCCATGCCCCTGTCAGGGATGTGAGAAATGGAACTACTGCCTGCAGGGTGGAGCCAGAGAGGCATTTTCTCCACATTACATCCGCCTGGTGGGCTCACTTGCATGGGTTGTTTCAACAACCCCAACAATAAGACTCTGAACCCCATACTCATCAGGACCCCTCTCAGCATCAATAGCCCCTTGGCTCTTCAAAAGTGTGGGAGATGGGGAGAAGCTCCCATCACCTTTAGGAAGCCCTCACATGGTTGACCTGGGGGCCTACCACTCTCCTCTCCCAGCCCCCAGAGCATGAGAGGCCCAGCTCCTTTAGGTGAGGGAAGGCAAGTATGTCCTGGGGCCAGCAGTGACCCCAGCTTCCCAGTACATGGGCCAGTGACTTGGATCCTCTGCATCCAGACGAGAGACAATCAAAATTGTTCCTCCTTAAAAAAAAAGAAAGAAAGAAAGAAAGATTGTTCCTCAGCTCTTCATGGGGCAGCTGCATGCTTGGGGAGGAGACTGTCTGTTGCATGTAGCCAACAACAGTGTTTACCATGGATGGCTCTGCTTGGCCCACTTGACAGTATCTGCTCACTTACTCCTTACCACAGTCCTAGGAGACACTATTGCCATCTCCAGGACTGGGCTCTTCAGACCAGGGACAGCTGCCTCCCCACCTCTCTGGCCCAGCGCCTGGTCTTAGGACGGCAGCTAGGGCAGGGCTGGACCCTGACTTGGGAGTTCCCAGGCTGGGGACAGCCAGGTGGTGGGCTATGGGAGCCCACTGGGACTCTGAGGAAGACAGTGGGACCCTGAGCAGTTTGTCAAACAGAGAACAGGATGGCCAGGCCACTGCCTGAGCCTGACGACCCATGCTGGTCGCCGGCCAGCCCCTGAGGCTTCAGCACCTCGGCCAGCGCCAGCTGCACCCTTGTCAGGGATGCACAGGCTGTAGAAGGGTTTGCAGGACTTTGCACGTTTCTGCGGTGGATTTGCTCATCCATTCACCGGTTCAGTCGCCCCAGACTCCTGCCCAGGAGCACCGCTCAGCCTCTGATCCCTCAGGACCTCCAGTCCCTGCCACCACCACCACCATACTCTGACCCGAGCGCAGAGCCTGGGCCACCAGCAGATTACAGCAGTGTCCTCC